TCATTTCTAGAAACTAGAGAAAATATCTCGTTGTAGTCGATGTCTTCTTTATGAGAAAAACCTTTAGCTACAAGTCTAGCTTTATATCGTTCGATATTACCCAATGAATCACGTTTTATATTAAAGACTCATTGCAACCAACTCTTTTATAATTATTGAGCAATTCAACGAGTTCCAAAATACTATTCTGGTCCATTGATTTTAACACTTCTTTCATTGTATTATACTTTTTTTCAAAATCCTTACTTTCTATGGCTTGTGAAAATGATAAAGGGTCTCTTTTTATTCCTATATCATAATTTGATTCTTATAAATATGCCACATAATCATCATAAATGACATGTCTCCTTTTCCTTTGAGATCTTCTCAAAGTTGCCAATTGTGATTGTTCTACAAGATCATAAGCGATGACATCAATATCATGTGAGAGTTCATTAATGTTATTTTGTTATTCACCCTTGTTAATTCTCTCATTGATTTGAGGAACAATAATTTCTTGAATAGGAATCATACGAGAGAATTAATATGAATATCCTCAATATTAAAATTGATCATTCGAGATTTTTCTCTCTAACTGATTTCGTCATTTTCTAAGAATCTTACATTACCAGATTATACTATTCTTGTACTATGATTAGAACAATGAAATCTATATCCTTTAGATTTTTCTGGATAACCAATAAAATATCTAAAATTAGTTCTTGGATCTAGTTTCTTTTCATGTAGATTGAATACTCTTATCTCTACAGGACACCCCCAAATATATAAATATCTCAAACCAGATTTTCTACCGATCTACAACTCAAATAGAGTTAATAGAATCGACTTTTTAGGAACCATATTCAAGATATATATGGTTATCCTAAGAGCTTCACCCCATATTAATTGAAGTACAGGGGAATAACTTATCATGCTCCTAATCATATCCATAAGAGTATGATTTTACCTTTCAGCAATACCATTCTTTTGTGGCAAACTTGATAAGGTATATTGAGTACAAATACCCTATTATTTTAGGAATCTAGCAAAATGACCAATATTCTAACCAGATTCATCATATCTGTCATAAAATTTATCACCCTTGTTAGATCATAATATTAACTTTTCTATCTAATTGTCTATCGATCTTATTTATATACACTTCAAGAGTGTCAGTGGCCTTTTCATGTATTAGATAAGCATAGTCATATCTGGACAGGTAATCTATAAATGTGATGAAATATATTTCTTTACTAAAAGAGGAATATGAAGTGCTCCGTAGATATAAGTACTAAATCTTCCAAAATATTATCCTTCACTAATATTTTAATTATTTCCTTAGAGATATGCCCCAATCATTTATGTCATAGTATAGAAGATATTTCATTATTGAAACTACGTTTCAATTTAACATTTGATTGCAGGGTCAATAATGTGTTTGCAAACTCAGGATTCAAATTAATTCTGTATAAATCATCAGAATTCAAAAACAAACTTTTATTAAATTATAAAATATAATGAGTTTACCATTACCAAAAGAAAAATAATATCCTAACTCATCAATTCTAAATAGAAAAACTTAATTTCTAGAAATAGTAGAAACAAAACATGTGTCGGCAAGATCCATTAGATGACCCATCTCTAAGTGTAGATGATAAGTTCCTACTGATATCACTTTCTACTTTAGATGATTTCCCATAATGATGAATCTTTCATTTTCTTTTGATTTCTGGATTGAAAGAAATCTTTGCATATTATTAGTAATATGAGTTGAAGCACTAGAATCAATCCACCAAGTATTAGAAGGAACTTCTGTAATGTTTGAATCGAAAATACAAAGGTCGAGTTCATATCTTTTTTTTTTAAACCAAGTCTTGCATTTAATGCAACCCTTCTTTACATGTCCTTTCTTGTTACAAAAGAAGTAGTTTACTATAATAGCTTTCTTTTCATTAGTTTGTTTAATATTTCTAGACCTAGCAAATTTCTTTATGCTTCAACTTTCTTTTCTTGTTACCAGGTCATTTAGTAGAAGTTATAACATTATGATAACTTTCCTACTTTAATCTTAATTCTTCCTAAACATGCATATTAATTAATTCATTCAAGTCTCACTTATCCTTATTTGTTTTATAGTGAATCTTGAATGGGCCAAACTGATAATAAAGAGAATTAAAAATGAATTACATGAGAAAAAACTCATCAACATTTCATGCCTAATGCTTTTAGTTTTATAACTTTATCAGTCATATTGAGGATGTGATCGTTAATTCCTCGAGTGTCATCATATTGAGTCGTAACTAGTTCTTTCATTAGTGTGCCAACTAATTACTTATCAGCGGATTTAAATCTGTCTTCAATAACCTTTAAATATTCTCATACGTTAGTTGCAATCAGTAATGAAGTCTTTATATTATTTACAATTGTCATTCTTATGAACATTAAACTAAGCCCATCATATCTTTCTCGAGTATTCATTTTATTAATTTATTCTACGGTACTTTCATCACAAGTCTATAAGCTTTTCAATAAACAATGCTAAGTCAAGATCTAATATGCCTAGTGTGAATTGCACATGCTCTAACCATTCTGAATAATTTGATACAGAGAGTACAAGGACACTGAAAGTATGAGAATGTATGGATGGAAGTACCACTGTAAAATATAAAATAACATTAATTCTTTAAATTTCCAAGATATGGTGAACTATTGATATCATCCATATTTCATGACATATCTAGTGTTCACTCAAAATTATCTTTGGAGGACTAATACCATCCTTGTGGAATAGTATTGCTACCTTTGGGTATACAATCCTAAACTATAAGCATATCCAAAATAATATTATCCTATCTCATCGTATAACTATTATGTATATTCTTTATTTAATATCATTTAGGACTAATTTCTTAATGTATTTTTATAAGCCATTAATCTAGACCACTTTGGTGACTATAAGATCAATATAGTAATATAAAATATAACTTAAATTATCTTATAAATGATAATACATTTATTATAATTTATACCTCATAAGCCTATCATCCCAAGCCACTTTGGTAGCTACCGATTAGATAAAAACTTACAAAGATAAATTAGAAATAATATTCATCAATTTTTTATTCTAATTTATGCTAAAATAGTTTAATAATAAAATAACAATCATAATAATTATTAAATATTAATCAGCAAAAGAAAAAACTCATATGATAATTATAATCATGATATATAAATCATGCCTTCATGTGAAAGATAAATATTATTTTATAATTTTAAATATATATATATATATATGAATAATCAAATAAATATCTAAAAATAATAATAATGATTTTATTTACCACATGCAAAATATAATCAATAAGTCATATGAGAAAACTATAAAAAAACCATAATTTATTTATTTTAGTTTCACATAAAGTGTTAAATTAAACCAATTGATTTTATTTAATTTAAGGAAGTCTAGAATTGGGCTAAACATCAGCCCAATTAAACAAGTCGATCAAAATAAAAAATTACTTAAAATTTAATCTTTTCTAAATTTTATCAAAACTAAATTCAATCAATAACTAGTCAAAATATAGTCATGATCAAATTCAATTAAATTATATTGATCAATTTTATAAGTAGGATATAAATAAAAAATTTTAAATTTCATTAGGGTAAAATAGTAAATTTGTTGATAGGACATAAACTAGAATAACGAGATTTGTAAAGGACAAAACTATCAAATAGATTAAAAAATAATTAATACAAATTACAGGGGTAAAAATATAATTTTCTTTTTTAAAACCCTAAGGGGCGTCTACTCGTAGGCAATCGCCACCCCTTGCGTGTAGGCGGGTGCCAGCAATGCGGCCACTGCATGCGGGCGGTTACCACTTGGGCGAGTGCCGCTGGTGCGGTTGTCGCCTGTGTGCAGCCGTCGCTTAGGCGCGACCTTTGTCTGCACGCTACCATCGCCTGGACACTAGACAAGGCTTCTACTCGTGCGTGGCCGCCACTATGCGATCGTCGTGTGTGTGTGTGTGTGTGTATGTTGCTTGCACATGGATGCCTACGCGCTTGTGCACGGCTGTTGCGATGTGCATCCAGCCTAGCACATGACCCGTGACCATCGCCAACATGGCTGCCATAATACGCGGTCAATCACGACATACGACTCGTTGCCTGGTGGCCGTTCACAGCCGCTATTGCTGCTGCGGTGCGCATGTGCTACCCAACGCAGCCATTGTCGCCAACAGATCTATCGTAGCGGTTGTATGCAGCACTGTTGTCGTAGTCGATGTGACTACCATCGTGCTGCACAACCACCGTCGTTGTCTCGCGATCATCGAAGATCGCATTATAAAGAATCTAATATCACCCATAAGCAAGCAAAAGGATAGAGTAGATAGAAATTTAGATAAACAAAATATATAAATCATTGAAATATCATAAATAAATAACAGATCTAAGTATTTAATTTGAAGAACCTAGGATCTGATAGTAATTGTAAGTATAAATTTGTGATATGCTATGTAATGTGAAAAAAATTTTATGCTAGGATTGAAATCAAATAATAATAGATGATGCGAATTTTCTATGTCATTTAAAAAAGATCTTTATTTGAAGGTTTTATCTTCTCGATCCGAATATCACAGTGATATATAATTTATTATATTATATATTTTATCCCATTAAAAAAGAGCACGTAATCTAACAATCATGCACTTGGTGCGTTCTTTATTCCTTTCCATGGCTGCAATGTTTGCAGTATTAGTAGCTCTTCAGTAGCTGAAACCACTTTGTGTGGCTTTCCAACCAAGCGAGGCAAAGGGAGGCTATCGATTTGCTGCTGCTGCAGCTTCTCAGCAATGCAGTGAAGACTGACCCCTCCCACTTCCCACGCTATATTAATGTTGCTGCACATGACCACCGCCCTTCTCACCCAACGACAGCAAAGCCCGAGGGACTCCCACTGAACTCTGCGCTCCTCTCTCATCTCCGAAGCTCTTCGTTCCCCGCGCACGGGCGTCGAAATGGATCATAACGAGCTCAATTCTCCAATAGAACAGTACCAGCTTTCGTTTCCAAGTTGCGCCGGCAGCAGTAGCAACACCACCGCTGCTAGTTCTAGCAGGAGGGGCAAGGGCAAGGATGGGCCGGAGAACGGGAGGTTCAGGTACCGAGGAGTGCGGCAGAGGAGTTGGGGGAAATGGGTGGCGGAGATTCGAGAGCCCAGGAAGCGGACTCGCAGGTGGCTGGGGACCTTTTCCACCGCCGAGGACGCCGCCAAGGCCTACGACCGGGCGGCGCTCGTCCTCTACGGCCCACGAGCGCAGCTCAACCTCCAAACATCCTCTACCCCTGCAGCCGCGCATCACGTCGGCGCCACCGCCACTACCTCCTCCTTCACCACCACTCTCCGACCGATACTCCCTCGTCCCTCCGGCTTCCACTTCCCCATCGCATCGTTGCCACCCAACAACATCTCTCCTTTCCTAACCACCAACACGACCGACAGCACGATCATGTCCCCGGGCCCGGCGGCGGAACCGCCAAGGGTGGAGGTCGGAGCACTAGCGGCTGGCGCTAACCATCTCGGCTGTAGCGATCCCACAAACTTCGACGAGATGAGAACTTTGGCCGGGTCGGTCAGCTCGAGCTTGTCCCGGTCATGGCCGCCGGTGATGACTACAGCGAGCTCGAGTTCGGCGCCGCTACTGTCGTCGCCATTGTGGGATTACGACGACTACGATGCCGTGGCTTCTTGTCTATGGGATGACACCGATCCTTTCTTCTTCGATATATGAGCACGAGGGATTAGGGTTTCCTTTTGCATGCACGATCTGATTCCAACAGTGAAGAATTCTTCGATTATATTGTTATTTTTCTTGAATTATTCGTATTATCCAGTTTATGTATTATATACTTGAAGAAACATAGCATGTTGCCTTGTGGTAGTACAACTCAAGGACGTCTAAGCTAGGGTTTTCCGATAATGAATCATGGAAGAAGGATGTTTCGCTGCATGTAGGCAGAAACATGCAACTGATAATGAATTTATGGGCTTGTTATTCCAAATGCATGATCTTATGCACTGGGGATAGCTGATTTTTTACAAGTAGAAATAGGCATATGATTGATTATGCATCGGTATTAAGTATTTGTTTGTGATATTACTGAGGTTCATCTGCTATTGTTAGAAATCTTCTTCCTACGTATCATCTGCTGACAGTTAATTAGCTTGATTTACAATCAAATGCATTTCATAGACAATATTTATTACCTTGATATACGAACCATGTTGTAACACAAAGTGTGCAGCCATGCAAATCAAATTATTTCTGCCCCCCACCCCCCTCATGGAGTTCCCACCTGATCTGAGGTCGATTGAAACATATATGCCTTAGACAGGTATAATAGTTATGTATGAGTACTGAATGATAGATTCTATACCTTAATAAGTGTCTTCTTATTTTGAAGTCTTGCCATCATAATTAGGTTCCTTTTTAGGTGCATCAATCTATTAACTTTGTCTGCAAAAACTAATCAGAGGAATAGCAGTTTGATTTGCAATCATACTGCAAGTGTTGTGAATGTGTTCTTTGATAGCTTGATCTAACTTAACAGCAAGGACAAAGGTTTATCTTACTGCATACATGTTCTTAGGTAATTAAAAGATCTAAAGAATAGGCTGATTTACATATTAGCTTATCAAAGAACACTTACAGCACTGTGTTCTTTGATAAGCTAATATGTAAATCTGCACTTCAAAGTGATTTACATATTAGCTTATCAAATAAACTTGCAAATTTCTATTTGGAATTCAAACCCACTCAATTTTTATTTCTTTGGATTATTTTTTGTATTGTCCATCACACTGAATAACCCCTCCTTTGAAAGTTGCCAATAATGTGTGTTGGTTTAGGCTGCCTGTTGCATGAGTCTTCTATTCCCATTGTTTGAGATATGAAAAGAGATGACATCAAGATCTAGCAGTCACTTAATTCTTGAATCAGTTGCACACTTGATCATGCACCATATTAATCATACAATAACAAACACTTCAATAAAATTACTTTTGAGTTGATAGTAGTAATAGGAAGACAACTTTTGGTATTACAATAAAATTACTCTCTTGTATTCCTTAACATTATATATATATATATATATATATATATATATATATATATATATATATATATATATATATGTAATTGACTTGATTGCTAATGATTAATATAATACAAGGTTGACTTGTACTCAACCATGGACATGTTTATAGTCTTTTAGGCCTTGCCCTTTTCAACCACTGATAAAAGACCACTCACTAATAAAATACATGGATGCTAATCTCAATGGACATCCCATTATTAATGAAGATTGCATGCTAATAAAATTAGTCATCACATTGGCAGAGAGTTTTTATCTTTTATAAACCTTTCTGGATGCCACAAATAGTAATTTCTGATGAACCATACAAATCTATCATTGTAAATGAAAACAATCTCAATTGTTCTTGTATCATAAGTTTCGATCTAGTTTGTAGCCAGCCCAATCTATCCATCGGACCTACTTAATTCAGGTTCCAGAAATGATCCAAAGTCTAGTCGAGAATTTGTAGCTTTTGTGGTTTGGATCAAAGATCTAGAAAAAGGTAGATTGCAACTCCATGGGATCACGAATAAAGGCACAACGTGGTTTGATTAACATTAAAGAAGCATACAGTCACTTCAAATGATGTGACATTGATTGATGCTAACACTCCAACCATAGTGGTTATGATGATATGCCCCATGATATATGGCCATCGATGTGGACCTTATTGCACTCTTTCTGTGCAACATTGAATTGTTGTTTTAGTCTCAACATGAATCAATTATATAGCCCCTCCTCCCACTAGGAAGATTAGGAAAATTCGAGTTTACATAAGTCTGTGGATTATTTTGTGCCACTATTAGTGATTAAGATGCTATTTGAAGTCTATTTTATATGGATTAAGATCTCAATAGACAATATTATGTATGGGATATTTGCTGCTGTCATCATCATGGTTTTGGATTATGTTTTTTTTAATTTTACTGATTATTTTTCCTAAGTTTTAGTGAAAGGAAGCTAAAAGGATCGAACTATCCTCCTCACATCTTTCTATAGAATTGAATTGTGACAAGCATATGACTCGGTTGTCAAACTGTATCATCATTGTCATGCATTTCCTTTTCATGTTACAATGCATGAAGAAAAATCTACAGGAACAAACATGACCAACAATGTCATGTATATAACTCTCAAACAGGAGTGAGTGATGATGAGAGAGGGCAAGGGGGCGATGCCAAACAGGCTAAGGAAGCACCTCAATCAAATCGTGCATCATCATCATCATCATCATCAACCTCCCATGGACGGAAAGCAGAAGTGAACAGCACCTCGTCATATCTACATCATGATGGAAATGCACTGCTTTATTTTTTTTTTGTTTTTTTAGGGAACTGCAAACACATCACACATGGTGTAAATAATAATAATAAAAAAAGAGTGGAGATATTATTGAAAAGATATAATTAGCTCCATGAAGATTCTAATCTGAAAATAGTTTTTCTGTCAAATAAAGCTATAAGAATGCTTTTATGAAGAACAACTGCTACATCTTGATAAGTATTTGAAATTAGATGCTAGAAATATATATATATATATTTACACAGTGAAAGACTTTAATTGAGATGTGCAATCATGGCAATTAATGTGGAAGGTCAGTGCAGCAAACCTACCCCTGGGGGCATTTAATCGTTCGATAACCTTCTGACCATTGCTATTCGGTGAGCTCCAAATCATGGTGACTATGAAGGTGATGTTGTCCTGCACACGCGTCTGGACAGAGGAATGAGTTGCATGAGGTGGGGAGAAAGGAACGGAGCCATGGTCCCTCCTGTTCCCCTTTCTGCACCGAGGACAACAGAGAGTGTTGTCAGAGGATGAAGAAGGGAAGGGCACAGACAAGCGACGTTAGCATTAGGACAGGTCATGTGATGGAGTTCGACCTACAAATATAATTAGATTAAATTGATGATGTGTGTTAATCCTCATCAGTTTCACTTGGACTCAATTCATTCTCCCTCTCTCTCTCTCTCTCTCTCTGGCATAATGTTCTGTACTTTGTAGGGAAGCATTTGAGGCATTTAGGGTGGTCGAGTACACACGGATGAAGACGGACTCTACGTAGCCTTTATGAGAGCATCATGCCTCCAGCTTGGGTGTACTTCGTCTCTATGATGCCGATCTCCACTGCATGTGGAGTGCCTCGCTTGCCATGCACAACATATTCCACAGATTCTGCAAGCTTTTCTCCCTTTCTGTTTCCATCAGTTTGACTGGCCAATATCAGCAGGACTACTTCTTTTCTCTGTGTTCTTCATCAAAGATTAATGGCCCAATTCTTGAAAGAAAAATAGCATCAGAATTTTCTCTCTCTCTTTTTTACCTAATACTCTCTCCCTTTTTCCTCCCCTTTTTTTTTTATCTCTTTTCCTTATGATCTATATTGTATTATAATATTTTCAGAGAAAAAAGGCATAGCAAAAAAGTATTTATAATTAACACACAGTTCAAAAATATTATGCTATCGTTGAAAACATAGAAACATAATATTATTTTACAAAAAATTGTACAAAAAACATAATCAAAATTTGACAATTAGACCCTTGTGATCTAAATGGATTCAAAGGTTTGCTAACATTTATGATAGAATTAAATAGTGATGTTACATAAAATGGATTCTAACATTGTCACATGGAAAAGGTGATGGATCCTGTTGTGGACAAGAAACGGTTTTAAGTATCCATCATAGGTTGAAGAGGCTCCACGGTTCCCACCCCTCGATTCTCCCTGCTTTCTCCTCCCACCATGCTCCCAAGAACCGAGAGCATCTTCCACCTGGGGGAGGAAGAAGGTGGTGAGGCTCCAGAGAGTGCAGCCGCCATCACAGAGCTCGACTGCTCCAAATACGAAGGCCTTCGTATCCTCATACACCGTTCGGGACGACCATCCAACTATGTCGTCATCAAGTCTTTGTTGAAGCCATTCACATTCACGCCTATGGCTTCGCCACCACGGTTTGGCTTCCTCAGAGCTTGCTGCTTCTGCAAAAGGGAGCTCAGTCTTCACAAGGATGTGTACATGTACAGGTATTCTTCTTCTTCTTCTTCTTCTTCTTCTTCTTCTTCTTCTCGTTGTGGTGTTGTAGATTGATGGTTGTAGCTGAATTAGGGCAGGGGAGAGCAGGGGTTCTGCAGCGAGGAATGCCGTCGACGCCAAATCCTGCAAGATGAGAGGAGTGAACTCGGAGCGTCGACGAGGGAGAGGTCGAAGGCTCCTCTTCCTCATCATGCTTCCACCGGAGTTGATGATTCTGGCCGACGCAGGAGGATCTCAGCAGTAGCCTAGAGATAAAACCATCCATCAAGAAGAAGCACATCTGATCTTTGTTTCCTTTCTCGTCTAAAAAGGAAGAGAAAGCTGCATGTCTTATGACTCTCGCATTGTTGTATGTCAATAAAAAGAAATATGCTTCTTCCTTTCCAATTTTACTCGCCTAATAAAAGAATCAGTGTGAACAAAGAGCAGATTCCATTGCAACTCCAAGAACATGTTCTCTAGATTTCTACCCTGTGAAGCAACCAATTAGGTTGATTTTTTTTGGGAGCTTCGTAAGTCTTTAACTCTCTACAATCATTCTAATTAATAATCATCTTTAAGTAGGATGATGACGGAAGGTAGATGATTAACTCGAGAATTAAGAATAATTTAATCAATA